GTCCGAAATATGGGACATAGTTTCATATGTTGTTCAAAATATGATCAAAAAAAAGCCATAGGTTAGTATGTCGTCTGAAATATCATAGAAATATCATAGTATAATCTGCAGTAACAATCACCTCTGTGTACTTTGACCTGTTCTAATCTTGAAAGAGTCAGTTAGTTTTAATATGGATCTTCTGTTTGTTTGACTTGTTGCTGCAGCCTTTACATTATTACCATGTTTGTTTTGTGTCATGTCTTCACAAGTTAATAGTGTAAACTGCTATGACTCATCATCAATGCTCAGACGATCTAATCAATGGGTTTCTATTTTAGGTGGTCTTATTTAATTATCGAAGGGTCTTGGTTCAAGTCCAAGCTGAATTCTTTTTTTTCTTCTTATAGTAAAGCATTTCAGTATGTGAGACGTTGCCTCTCGTTGCATCACACATCTTCCAACTTGAATGTTTCAATGTTCTGTCCATCTTTCTACTAAAATGTTTTAAAGATTGAATTAGCATTGTAGAATTGTAATTGACACCAATCTGGTGTCCTCTCAAGGTTTTTCATAAAGTTAAAGTTTTCTTCATTACCGATTATTTACAAGTTTGACAGATTAACTGAAATTATGTTTTATTGTTTTTAATGTTCAAAATAAAAGCTCTGTAATTCAAAAGTGCTGTTACTTTGAAGACAACCTGGCAAAGAGGAAGTGATTAACTTTATGTGACCTTATAAAACACACGACAGGAAGCTGAAGGTGTGAACAGTTGATACAGTAAGTGAGAATGAGTAGAGATGTGAATGAAATCAGAAATAATGTCAATGTTGAAGGTCACAAATTAAAATTGACTTAACTGCTGCAGTACTTGTCATCGAAATTGATGTTTATTGCATTTGTTTTTCATTTTCTTACAGCGAGAGACACTTGACACGAGGTAGCGGAGTTGATGCTACAGAGAAACAAGAMGTCACACTGGAGTACAACTTGGAATTACTCCCAACATGACATTTGTACTGCACCAGACTCATCAAACTTTAGTTAGTCCATTAAGATCATATAGAGTTAATATACAGTGAAATTCAAGACAAGATAAAGTTCAAATAAAGTAACTTTTAAGATAAAGTAAAAAAATGAACATGAATATAACAATATGGAAGGACTGAGACATGTCACCTTGTTCCAGTTGTTGGTTTCACTTGTATAGATTTGTTCCAGAGTGGAGGTTCTTCTGTCACAAACTATCTCTGACAAGTGTTTGAATGAAAAGACAATAAAAATAACAGACGACTTCAAATGATTCAGATGAATTCAGATCATGTGGGACATTCATGAGGGACACAAAAACTTCTGTCTGTTTATTTCATGTAGTTAGTGTGGATATCACGTGACTATTAACCCCATGACTTTTATATGTGATTTCAGATAACATGTTAACCTATGACTTTTTTTTATCATATTTCAGACAATAATAATGTTATCCCTCTGAGTCCAAATAGACTGTGTCCACACGAAGCCACTTTGTCTGTTTGTGTGTAGGCTGGAATTGCATGAGGTAGCATTTTGTTTCAATCAAGTATTTGAGAGCAAAAGAGAAGCAGCTCGAGTTAAAGTGCTGCATTGTGATTCCAATTGTGTGAAGGTTCTACATGTGAAATAAATGGCCCCTGTGTTGACTCACTCCTCGTGGACTAAGTGGACCACTAATCAGACTGAAGGTCACTGGTTCAAGACTGAGGATGTCCCAAAAAGAAAAAAAAAAAAGTACCTGGATCATAAGATGGACCGGATCTGGATCTGCTGGAGTCCAGGGGATGGATGGACTCTCTATCCCACTGTCTAGGTGCCCCTGAGCAAGGCACCTTACATCTGCTCCCCTATCATTGCTCACTCAGGACGGGTTAAAGGCAGAGACTTCATTTCCCCCCATGTTGCATAGTTGTGTGCTGTGTGTTGCAGGATTTGTGGGACCATAAAGGAATCTTAGTCTTGATGCGTGTCCTTTACTGTGTGTGAGCTGCGCTGAGTTTATACAGCTGTGGGTGGAGCCAGGCAGGGCTGATTAGTGGAGGTGAATGGAAGAGGCGGAGTACAAAATGAGACCGTGCGTGCAGTGGTGGGCGAGACGGCTCACGTGACCCAGCAAGATGGCGACCGCAGGGCAGAGTGGACGTGAGTGTGAGTACTACGTCTTATTATCATCTCACCGTTACACGGACAAACAACCGGATCCTTTCACTCCGCGTCGTTTCCTTGCGTGACCGTGGGCAATGTTTATCTCCACGATATCACCTCGTTTACGTTTTTATCCTGCGGTTTTTTTTTAATTCGCTAACTGAGGTGGCGCTGAGCGGCTCCGCTAACGTTAGCTCGTGTCTGTGGTCCTATATTGTTTTAAAGCGTTAGTCAGCTGTTTTCTGTTCTGCCTCGTCATCCCAGCCACTGGTTGATCAAACCACAGCATCTGTTTGTTCACTTATACACATGTGTGTGTTTCTCTTTCTAGATTTCAACTGAGCAGGCTCCGTTTTTGCTGTGGATTTGGATCCGCTGATTAATTACTGTCCATCATCATCATCATCATCATCATCATCACAACAGAGAATCAAGATGGCCCTAAATGTGTTTGGTAAGCAGCATCTCACATGATGATTATTGTGATTCAATGCCATGTTTGTCCTCTGATCAACCATCCTTTATTATAATTCATCTGTTACACGACAGGACAGTAAAACATAATGTGGATCCAACGTGGAACTTCTCAAATGTTGTTCTTCCTTCTCCTGTACATTTGTTTACTCACTGGAAACTTTGCAATTTATGAATTAAAAACCACATGATCTGTTCATAGAATATGATGCTTCTTGATATAATCCTACTTTACAAAGCAATAAGTACCCCTGAATTTTAGTTTATTTTGTATTTTAGTGTATTTTCAAGCACTAGACATCCTATTCTATTTGCACTTGTTTTTACTATATTTCATTTTATTCTGTATTTTACATCCATACATGTATGTTGTGTTTCCATTGGGAGGGGGTTACGTGTCTTGTTTCTTTTCTTGTTATGTGTTATGCTGTGAGTGTTGTTGTGGGAGTTGTGTGCATGGCAATAAAGTATTGAATCTTGAATCTTCAGTAGCAGGTAACACCTGCTACAGGCTGCTTACATAGTAATGCTTCACTGATGCAATAGTATAGTATTTATAGTATTCAACAATATTAAATAAATTATGTCTCCCTCTGGCACAAAACAAGCAATTTGTAATGCTTTGAGTACATTTTGCTGATAATCAAATCTATAAAAATAATAATAATAATCTAATTTTACTGAACATTTTGAATAGAGGACTCGTATAATGTGGTGTCACTAGGATCTACATACTTCTTCCATCCATGATATATTGGGGTTTGTTAATGTAGCCCAGAAGTAAAGAATTGAAATGCCGTAAAGAAAAGAAACGTCCCATATTTACTGAAGTATTAGCAGTAAAATACTGTTAGCCTAAAATGCAGAGTTAGCTGTGTAAACACCTAGTTTTAGATATTTATCAGTTTATTTATTTTGCTGTAGCTACAAAATTATTTAAGAACATATTTATAAATATGCTCCTTTTTTTTCTATGGTTCTCTAACAGCTCTCCCGTCAAACCAGCATTTGAAGAAAATTTTGAATTCTCAAATAGCAACTTGATGAATTAAACATAAAAATCAAATCGATGAGATGAGTGAATTCTGAACCCCTTCAGTCAAATCACCTCTGATCACTGTCGCAGTTTCTCCACTTGGGGGCGCAAAAGCAGAGGAAATTGTGTTTGAGTAATGTTGCAGCTGTTTAATCCATTGTTGTACTTTTTCTCCTCTCAGATCATGATGAATACAGGCCACCAGTGTGGAAGTCTTACTGTAAGTTTCAGTGGAAAATGTTTTTGTTATAATCCCGATTCTTAACTTTTATTGTTATTTCCTTGTCAGTATAATGCGATTTGGATAGTCATGCTATCTTTCACTGTCCTGGGTATGCGTTTAAGGAGATAATATCGTTGTAATAAACTGCTGTGTTTCCTCCTTCAGTGTACCAGCTCCAGCAGGAGGCGCCTCACCCACGCAGACTCACCTGCACCTGTGAGGTGAGAACACAATCCCTAATCCCAGTTTTGATCCCAATAGTATCGCACTGGTATTGTTTATTATTTTATAAGTTTGTTATTATGAAGTCAGACATCTGATTTTATAAATGGCCTCCACCAGGTCAGGTTCATTCATTCATACAGCACTTCTATTCGCTGCACTTTTTCTGTCACACAACATCTACACACTGAGGGAACAGCCCACAGGGGCAAATATGGGGGTTCTTGCCCACTTGCCTACGGATGCTTTGGCATGTGGACTGGAGGAGCCAGGGATCGAACCACCGAACTCTTTAGCCACAGCTGCCTTGTTTATGGCTGCAGATTGTCATGAATCAAATAAACATAGTGGTACCTAGTGTGAAGTGTTAAAAAAAATTAATGAATGAATGGATGGATAGAGAGATAGACCTTAACATAGATTTAAAAAATTCCAATCTTTGTGGGTAATATGATAATAACCTGAAAAATAAAAAAATAATGGTATGGATCAAAGCTTCAAGCAGTCTGAACATTTCTTGTGTGTCTTTGTGTATGTGTGTAGCTGTGTGAGTTAATGTGTGTTTGTGCCTCCCTGGAAACTATATTTGCTGATGTCGACTCTCAGCAGGACTGATCGTTTTTTGCTGTAGTTCGGGAATCCGTTGTCTTGAGGGAAAGCATCTGTTAAACCGTCTGTAGCACATGTTAAACACGGCACATGAGCTAAAAGGTTTAACACCGCACATTATTTTATGTTGGTTAAAGTAGGTTTTGTATTATTAAAGCGATCTAACATTGTGTGTGTGTGTGTGTGTGTGTGATTGCGTGTGGCAGCAATGTTTTGGGCAAACCAATAGGGATTAGAGATTGGGGGAATTTTGTGCATCTGCTGTTTTTGTGTGTTAATCCCTAAAGACAGTTCTTTTAGGGCCTGAAGGATGTGTGTGTGTGTGTGTGTGTGTGTGTGTGTGTGTGTGTGTGTGTGTGTGTGTGTGTGTG